GGGCGCAAAATACTGGCGTTCCAACGAAAGAAAAATTTGTACCGGTTTTACACGGTTTTTCACGCCATACAAAAAAAGAAAAAAAAAAAAAAATTAATAATAATAATAGGTCGCACTACACAACTTTGCTTTATATTTTTGTTGAACTGATTTGCACGTGCTCTTGCACGCGTGCCTTCTTGGCCTTGTGGCAGCACAGGCGACCCAGACGTAGTATGTGTCAAAATTTTAATGAATATATTAATGTTCACATGGACAAAATAGGATGAGTCGTCGAAACTCCCATGAACTAAAATGGTCCAAAAGTCAAAATATAACAAAACAAAGCTAAGATACCTTTAACTGAACGTATCCTTGTCTTTCCTGGCCGGTTAAAGTGGCATTTTGTTGAGTTTTGCAATTGTAGGAACTATCCACTAAAGACGAATTAAAACGCTGGCTACAAAACAAACGGACCATCTGCACGCGCCTTCACGCGAAGCGCTATAAATTCGAGAATAATCGACGAATCCGCTCCAAATTGCCATCGGCTAATCTGCAGGTAACGTGTGCTCCTGCTTCTTGCTCGCTGGCTCCACAAAACCCATCACAACTGCACAATAATGGCTCGCTCATCAACAAAGAAGTAAGAAAAGTTACCCTAAAACTATAAGCATGTTATACTTTGAAGGAAATAAAGACTTCGGTCATTTTCAACATCTTGTTATCTCAAACTTGCAGTTTATAGTAAATCGATAGTTTAGAATTTCGACATTTCCTGATGTAGCAGCACTGTCCTCTGTGAAGGAGTTAAAACTTATAGGAGTCGTTGAACATACTTGACACTTGCTAGATCAGATATCAGCAAAATAGTCCGGTTTAAACAATAACTGAAATCACGCCACTTTTTTTCTTTGAGATTCGAGGAGCACATGTTTGTCAGCTGAAATACTGCTGCAAAGTACTACCGGAAAATAAAAAAGACTGTTTTAACAGTTGAAAATAACAAAAATGGTGATGTTAATAATTAATTAATTAATTATTATTAATAATACTACTAATCATTATTATTATTATTAATAATTAATTAATAATAATAATGATGATGATGATGATGATGATGATGATGATTATTATATATTTTTTTTCGAATTATCTGAGAGGAAAATCCAACTTAGAAGCAGTAGTAAAGGATTTTATTTTATCTTACTTTGAGAATTCATTGCTATATTTTATTTTTCCTAAATACTTAATGAAATATTGTAAGCTTTGGAGCCCGAAACCTCCATCAGCACTCTAATGCAAGCATTGAAAATTCAAATCATATCAATAAAACCATGTCTTGAAAACTTTTTAAAAAATGTTTTATTCATTGAAATTGTCATTTTTTTACTGTTTTCATTACTCTGGGTCGATTAGCCCAAATCATAGGTTGGTTGCATGCCCAGACATATGTATGTGCTCTGTCAGTTGTAGTTTAACCGTAATCCACGGTCACGGCTAACCCGGGCTTTGAATCTAGTTTTGCATTGATGACGTCCTAAATAGCCTGGTTTTTGGCGACGAATTGAAGCCGTCTCCTCGAGTCGTACAGTCCCAAGAGGCTTTCTTTGGCTGGAATTGTGCGACTCTCGGAGACGGCTGAAATTCCTGCTCAAAGCTTCCAGACAAGTTATTGAACGGCGAAGAGTAAACCTCTAGAAACCGCTACGGCAAATTTTCGATTGTCTGCTCTAGGGCCATCCTTTGCGTGTCTTTTGCTCCTGTAAACAACCGAGGAGGGAAAATTGCCAATAAACATTCCTATTTTGAGAGAGGTTTAGCTCCCATTTTGACATCCCGCCAAGGTAATTAAGAATCATGCTTGTGCGATATCTAGGGTCAGTCATCTCTGCTAGGACTCTCTCTTTTAAGAATACCTTTTGTTGATTGGCACTCCTTTTTTTATTTTGCCCAAGCAATGACAGTCAATTAAAACGACAAAAACAAAATAGTCTTCGCATTAGGTTACTGGTTTTCGGAGAATGAAAAAAAAAAAAAAAAAAATAGAAGAAGAATAGCAAGGTCAGTAATAAAACTATGAAACCTCATAATAGTTTCAGGGCCTTAATTTTTTAGGGAGACCACTTGAAACGAAAGAGGAAATCTCGGGAGGGGTACAACCTTGCCCTCAGGATTTTTTTTATGTTGGTAGAAAAGAAGGTGGATTAACTGGGAACGAAGTTAAGAGGGTAAGATAACTACCGTATTTTCTCAATTTAGCATTGAGACTCTAAGAAGCCTCCTGGTTAACCTCAGTTTTAAGCGACAAAAAAGAGAAATAAGCTCCCCAGCTTCCATAAAGCCTGCAAGCCTAACGTAGAGGAAATTTTTAAATATGTGCTGTGTGCATGGGCTGTGTCACACATACTTCCGCATTAAGTATTTCAGTTAAAACTATGAACAGTCAAAAATGATGAATAAAGGTAATTATTAGAAAAAAGATAAGAAAAAAAGAGAAACCCTCAGCCCCCAGGTCGGAAGTTCTGATCGATAGTGAATGAGCCCCCGAAGATGTAAACAGAGGAAAAATGGCATTTGCATTCGCTCGGACAAGGAGCACCCATTCAGCTTCATCTTGCTCTGATCTAGCTCCAGGCTCTCCAGTGAGTTATACTGGGAGAACAGAGACCGCGGAGGGGGAGGGGCTGGTGGGGCTATAGCCCTACCACTTTTTTGCTGGGATTTATTTTCTAGGGCTCCAGTTGACCTGGAAAAAGTTATCGTGGAATTATTGGACTTTTCCCTAAAAGGTGGACGGTTAGAGCCAGTTGTTTTCGACGAATCCTTAAGAACTATGCAGTTCTTATGGAAGAGTGGGATATTTGCTTGTCCGAACGATTAGAACCCGATGTGCGTGCAAGGATAACAGGATGTAAGACCTAAATGGAACGATCTGACTTTTTCTTTGGTTTGCATCTTGGAGGGCGGCTTCATTCCCACGCCGATAATCTTTCTAAGGATCTTAAGGGTACTAAGGTGGCTACTGTCAGTGGACAAGGCCTGACATTGGCATATCTAACAAAGGAGATGCTCAAAAAAAATGCCCAGTGATCGAAGCTTCGACCATTTCTATGCTAATATTTCGCGCAAGAGTGAAGGCCTGCTTGGTAAACCATCGCTTCCACTGAAAGCGGTGCACTTCGGCCAGACTGGAGGTTGGTGCTGGTGCACCAAGCTACCCCCAAACTGCCAAAGATCACTTTAGAAGGGTCTATTATGAGGCTGTTGATCTTATCGTCAGTGCTATCTATCAGGAAAGCTTCAGCTCCTACGCCCAGATGGAGACCCTCTTGGTTAAAACTGCTAATGGTGACGACTATGAGGCAGAGTTCAAGTTTCTTGAAGCATCATACAGAGAAGATGTTGATACAGGGGCGCTACCTGGGCATGCAACTAAGTATTTTGGAAGTTTTGTTATAGGAGACGATAGCATGTTTTGACGAAATCCTGTTGGCGGTGTCAGAGTTTCCAAAACTAAGAGAAAGCCCAAACTATCTGTAAGCTGCCTGCTGTAAATCCTGCAACCAGCGCTGCTGACGAGCATTCATTCTCATCTGCACGGCGTCTGAAGACGTGACTTCTATCCAGAATGGGTGACCTAGCAGTGTTGAATGGTTACAAGCGGAGAATAGACAGTGTCTCTATAGCTACACAGGAGTTTGTTTGAATCGCAAGAGAAGCTTCGGCACTTCGGGCAACTTCAAAAAGTAGCAACCTCAGAAGGTTTATTTAACATATTGGCTATATTGGATAGTATAACACGTGTGGGCGTTTATGTTATATTTGTTGAGGTGGTAAATAAGATAGCGCGCAAATGCAAGATAAATGGCGAAACACCGACCTGAATGTTTCTTTATACTAGGCAGAGTTTTTAACCCTACCACCTTAAAATGGTCTCCGCGGTCCCTGGAGAAGAGAAAGCGATTAAGTGCGAAGAAATGGAAAGGAGGAATAAAAGTTCATGGATGAACAAGAACTAGGAATTCAGTATGGCAGTCCTTGTCTGTCCTTGGCGAAAGGAATTTATTGGTTTCCTTTCACGTGCTCATACCGGTCATTTAAAGGGGGCGCGAAAGGGTTTGCGGTAATGCGGTCTTGCGTTCTTATTGCTGCGGTTTTGCGGTAATTTTTATTTCAAAGTACGGCATATTGCGGTTTTCAGAGTCCAAGCGGTATGCAGTTATGTCAGTTAAATTTTATGTCGCGGTAATCGGTGAGAAAATTGGTGTCTCGCGGTGATCTACTTCCCTTTTTTTAAAGCATGACAACTCTGCAAATCCTTAAAGGTTTCCCTAGCCTGCGTGACCTGCCACAGCTAAGCTCTCCCTAGTTGCACAATCGCGGACCGTATTGCGCAAACATGATTAACGACATTAACCTTTTATCCAATAATATGTAAACATCTCTACTTAAAAGGCAGATCTGTAGTCTTGACAACGCCAACTTTATCCCATTTGTAACTGCGGTTTCGGTATTTGGGTACGCAGTATTGCCGTTTTTGTCGCTCTTCCAAGTGCAGTATTGCGGTTTTCGGACCCCTCCCCCCTTCACCCCCGTCCCCCCTCATTCAGATGAATTTTGTCTCGTTGTTTTAGCCAGATATTGAATAATTTAAAACTAATAAGCTATCCCAAAATGTGAAGAGAGAGACAAAAAAAAATATCAATAAATTTCAATGTCCCCCAAAAAGCAAAACAAAAACAACGACAAAACTCGATAGCTTTTATGTACCCCGCCAGAATGGCAGAGTGTAAGTGTCAGATATCGTTCGACAAAAGGTTTTTTTTGTCACCTTACTTCACGTGATCCGTACACTAAGTAAAAACCCAGAAAAAAAAATTGATTGGTCAAGATCTATGGAGGTATTTGTGGGTGGTAAAAGACAACAGCATTTTTGTCTGGGAATCATTTTGCGGGTGGTAACGTATTTGAAAGACGTATTCCCCACAGATCAGCTAATCAGTATCGGAAATAAAAAGATGAAGCTTTGCCTGTGCTTTTTACTTTTCTCCTCTCAAGCCTTCATAGCTTGCTCAATAGCCATCGGAGAGGAACGGAAGGTGACCGAAAAGGAAGACATATCTTTTGAAGGGAACAAGACTGAGACTCCATCATTCCTTTCGACATTCTACGAAGAACTCGTAGAAGAAAATGAAGCTCATGGAATGGCGTATTTTCTGGAGAGTTTCCAAGCACAATGTAAGCTATTCTTATTTAATTGCAACTAGTAAGTTTTCGTTTATTGTCAAGTTAACATTGGCAGGACGTTATGGGCTCCTGACATTGGTGATGTCTGGGACTTAAACCAGAGCTTCAGATAACGCGAAGTTAAAAAAAAAACGGATCTGTTCGATCTTCTTTGCACGCAACATTTTAATAGTTTCATTAATAGGCCATAGATGATTTTCTTGTTAATACACAGAAACGTTCATTAGTTGAAGCAGCGTCGACACCTAAGTTTATTTTCTCTAGAATAGCGCATTTTGTCATGCATCAACTACAAGGGTGGGTCCATAATCAAAAGAAGGAAAAAACTGTTTGTGGCCAAGTTTAGTGAAAATTTGAAAGTTTAGCGATTGCTAGCATTACTGAGAAAATAATGAAAGACGGAAATGGAAACAGCATCAATTTCGTTTGTAAGGAATCAAGAGACAGACGAGTTTTTGCTGCCGCCACATGTCAAAGCACAAGCAGGAACTATTCGCAAAGCAGACATTTTCCTCTCAACCCACGAGTTAGGAGCAAACAAGAAGCTGACGGTGTCCATCCACGAGACACGAACAGGTGTGAAAATGTCTTCCCGACAACTGTCTACGCATCAGTCAGGCTGGTTGTCTCTTCCTGTGACCAGGATCGTTAAACGGTGGATCGCCCGTAAAGATGCACCGTTGAGGTTCAAGGTTTTTGTCAAAAGAAGTGGTGGATTTGCAACCGCAAACACAGATGATGTGAAAATTCCCAAGGTTTGGCTGATTGTCTACAGCGAAGCCCAGCAGGGACAAGCCTTTCCTTATTTGGCTCTCAATCTGAAGACTAGCGGATCCTCTGTTAGTAGAATGAGACGCGACAATTCACCCTCAAAGATGGCCGCCAGCGAGAAGCCCTGCAGAAAGGAAGACATGGTCATAGAATCACTCGAATTCGGTAAGACAGCTAAGGTCATTTATCCCAGAACCTTTAACGCATACCAGTGTTCCGGAAACTGCTCCAGCAACACTGGAAAGGCACGATTTATCAACCACTCTATCCTAAAGGCGTTCGTGTCGCAGAAAAACGGAATCAAAGGCAAAGGTGGGTCGTGCTGCATTCCTTCCAAGCTGAAGCCGATAACCTTGATTCTAGTCACTGACGAAAAAGGCTACCTGATTAAAACTATTAGGGATATCGTTGTGGAGGAGTGCGCATGTTACTAAAAGCTCTCCAATCTGCTGTTATTTGTGGTGTGCATGTAAAAGCATGCCTCGTCAAAGATTAGAGCGATATATCTAGATTACGTGAAGGGGACAGTGACTTTGCCATCATTAATTTTCTTTACATGAGCAGCCGTACACACTAGATACAGAGGTCTAGGGCTAGTTTCATAAACATAAAATATGACTGTAGTGCTGGGTTTTCCGCGAACAGGAACAACAATGGCGTTTTGTCTGCATAAAAGTGGTATATTGCACGGAAATAATATATTCATCGAAATAATATTAATATTTTTTCTGTGTTCACCGATTTTGAGGATTCGTGAACACATCTTACATCATGATAAAGCCTATAATAAACGCATATTAAACCTTAGAGGGGGTATAGTAATTATTAAAGTTTTCATGTCTTGTGGTGAAGTTCATGTTGTACAAGGGTAAATCAAAATAAACACTAGCTATCACAAGCTCGTGAGGGATTTCCATTTTATTTGTCCACAAATAGCGGTTTGTTTTCCTCAATCCACCAGCTAGAACACTATACACCCATTTCGTTCTAGAGCCCTCGTGGATAGCTTCATTTAACGCTAAGGCAACTCAAGCCGTTTACTGAAACAACCCGATTAATTAAGTTAGACTTCTGCATAAGCTTGCGACATAAAGACGAGTTTTATTTATTCCTCTCTATTCGTTTGTTTTTTTTGTTGCTACCCCGGAGATATTAGCTTTACGCTGGGTACTTTATAAATCCAAAGATTGAATTAGGTGATGCGTGCGACAGCGCATAATGACAGCCTCTGAAAGATTATTCGTGACAGCATTCGAACTACACTTGATAGCTGGTTAAGTCTCACAGCCGACGCCGCTTGAAGTCAAAAGATTAGGATACTCGGTACAATTGATTCTTTTCAGACTGCCACTGGCAGTTTCTGTAACCACATTTAAATACGACAGCGAAGTTCACTTCTGGATAGAAACAAAATATCCATAATAGCAATCGAACCTGGTTGATAGCCTGGAAACGTAAACTCTGCGAGCAGAGGTTTCTCTCTTGCATGGCTTTTCTCGCGTTTACGAAGTCGTTCGCGTGAAGGAAACGTCGATTGAAGCTCGGTACTAATTACCAGTGAGGATAGCAATGTACATTGACATCTGGGCGCGGATAATCAGAGAGGAATAGTATTCTGGACATTTCCTTCGGCTTAAAAGACAGCATCAATTTTGAGTTTCATTTTTCTGATTTCTCATGATTTATGTTTAGTCTTCTTCAGTTTGCAGCACTTTCTTATTTCGAATACTGGGAGGTTTTTATCGGTTTCCCGATGATTTCGTGAGACTCGCTATTCTTCTTGAGAATCACGTCTGACTTAAAATTCTGCGATATGAGCACCTTATATCCTACTAGTAAACAACAGTAGGCGGACAGAAGTCATCAACAAATAGGCTGAGAATTTCGCTCATCATCTTGCAGAAGCTTATGGACCGCGATCAAAACCACAAATGGCATTTCTATTACAAGCTGTAAATTTTGCTGCAGCATTAATCACTGAACCCACCTTTCTTGGGACATTCATTTACTTAAAGCCCCGTCCATTTAGAAATAGCGGAGCACCCACCAATACTTTACAAGTGTTGACGCGATACTAAATGAATCGACGGGGTTGTTTGAGACTATATAATGCATTATTCGGCCTTTGTTCTAGTGTCTTGAATTTCAATCTTGAAAAGGAGATGAACAGAATTACCCAAAATTACCAACGAGATTGACTCATACCTGTGTCCATAATTTGGCAGTCACATAAGTATCGACCAAGATCATATATTTGCTTGATAAAGACCTCTAGCTCAAGAGAAAAGGTTTAGCAAATGACAATGTGCCACAGGAGAATACTGTACTAAGCATCTTCCGTTGACAATTGTCTTTCAGCCCTCCTCTCTGTTAATCGAGAGGTAGGCTCGATCAGCTCTGGCTTTCAATGCTGTTCCAACTTGGTAATGGTGACTTATTTGTAAACAACATGTCAGTTAAAATTGTCCTTCATGCCAACTTTACCTCGTTTTCTGGTGCTTTATTGTTTAAGATTGGATATTGTTTTCTTGTTGCGAAGCAAGAATCTTCTTTACTCTTGCGAACGAATGATGAATTTCCACCTTTATCCGCTTGCTTCCCGAGAAACACTCCCATGACTTTGCCAATTTGTCTCTGTAGACTCACACCACATGCAAAGCATCCCATGAACGTTGAATTAAAATAGTAAACGCTTAAGTGGGAAGCATCATGATTTATTAATGAAGATTTCACTGATGCTACAGTATTGGAAGGCGTTAAGATCTTCTGCCCTAGCAAACGCAAGTAAAACAATCCTGAAAGATTGCCTACTTGGCTCGTGTTGGATACATTCTCAGTCTAGTTTAATTCAGATAAGTTGACTCCCTCGATCTAAGCCATATCGCTGTGTGTGATTTGTCGGTTCTGATTAAGTCATTATGCACTGTTAGACTAAGAATTCTCTTTACATTCATACGCCTCATGGCCAGCTGTACGATAGAGCCATAGTTAATACAAAACAAAGACCATAACACGTAGACATCTACTTCGAAAGAGAAGAAAACGGAAAACATTTTACCCGACTGCAATCAAACCGGATGACTTTAACTTGCTAGTTACGGGTTTCAAAAAAACACCTTGTGGTTCCAGAAGCTGCCAACGAAGTTGAACAGTTTACTCACTGTAATAAGCCCAGCTTTGCGAGAGCACGTCTAGAAACTTGCTGCTACTAATTTCTAAGCAAATACGCGGACTTTACACCTTTGGAGGTCATTGCTGATTTTTTGGCACTAATCATGTCCTATGTGTACGCCAAGTTTCTTCTGTAAATTGCTTAGGAGGGCCGAATTATCCAGAAAGTCATTTATCTGTTTGCACTGTTGCATTGACAAATAGTCCAACTCGAGTGAACTGATTATTTGAAGAAATGTCTGCTCATTACCTTAGTATGATCAAAGTTGCTTTAGAGTTTCGTCTAAGGACAGATTTCAAATCCGAGCATTTGCACGGTTATTAAACCTACGACAACGGGTACAATAACTGAATCAAGTGCTTCTCCAAGACCAAAAACCAAAACTGCTAAACCCAACCTGTTCTTTGATCATTTTCAAGCACTAAATGTAAACGCGTTTGATGCACAGTAAATACTAAGGTCACCAAGAACAAATTTCAAACAGATTTTCTTTCGAAAGATAGTTTTTCAAAACTTCAGAAACAAGAAAATCGTCCTGTCTGTAAATATTATTCTATCAAATTGCTACTCGCGTTGGGACGAAACTAGCCGCAAGCTTCGAACTATTTTAGTCCCACCACACATTCTTCTGTCAAAATCACCTCAAACCTCAACAGTAATAAACAACGACACATCACAGATCTTGCGCGCACTGAACTTTCCACAACAAGAACAAAATAAGCAATAGAAAGTCGTTCTTTGAAGGTGCTGCTATTGAATAGAGGAGAACAGGACTCATACTACTTTACGAAAACTTGACACGAGAAAGTGACAAGCATATTTCACGCAGGAACTTTTCTGTTGTCGTCATAGTTGTCTGCTCCTTTGTTTTCTTGGAAGGTTACTTACTGTAGGAATGCGCTTGGGACGTGTAAAAACTTTAATTAGCCACTGAGTTATTTGGATAGTTATGTGTATCAACCGTCTTGAATGAAAACATTCGTTGAGATTTTATGGTCAAAACTCATGGCTTAACTATCCGATTGCAATAATTGCGGTTGTTTTCCGTCATCGAATATAAATCAATTTGTACCCACGCTTTGCAAGAGTACTTACAATACAAAAATTGGAATACAGTACATCATAAAAGTACGATCATAGAAAATTTCGAAAGCATGAATTAGCAACTGACTAATCAGTTACATTTATTTTACAATCATTAGAAAGCTTAGGACATGGTTAGACTCTACACATTTGATGACTGTTTGTAGTTTAAAGAACTGAGTAAATTATCCATCAAAAACCTATGGGCATTCAGATTGTTTTGAAAGCATTTTGAGAGACGGGCTTTGAACCCGATCGCATTTCAACTGTCATTAAAACATTTTGGTCACAAACATTGGATATTTGCTTTACTTCAGTCGCCACGGTGGGAGCCGAAAATATATGGTCTATAATGATCTAAAGCATCTTTAGCCTGCAGTGCAGGCCTTTAATTGGAAGGAGGAGAGCACGAAAAAGAAGTCACTCATGATGTGGCGCACGCAGGAGTTCTTAGGCCTTTGTCACGCGTTCCTTCCCCACATGGCCTGGCAAGGGACGATGGAAACAGTCGCCCCCTCCAACTCCCCCACTTCGACATTTTGTGCTCTCCCCAATTTTCCTCTGCTTTGAAAATAAAAAATGGCGATTGAAGGGAATACTGAACGCTCACCCGAAAAATACAACTGCATTGGACTGAGGCTGATGCGCCCTCACCCTGTTGTTCACTGTTCGAGATTGCCCCCACGTTTAGTCGATTAAAATCACTTTGAGTTTACATCCGGTGCAAGCTTTCTATTCCTGTTCCTACTAGAATTGCAGTACATGAAATTACGCAGAAATTTCGGACAGTCTTCAACCGCCAATTCTTGGACCATTAAAGGGCTTCCCAGGCTTCATTCAGATTCCTGGATTTTACCATGCGATAAGAGCCAAAGCAAGAGATATCTATTGTTTTCTCCATAACGCATTCTCATTCCAGAATTCGATCAGTCGATTCGGTTTAAATTATCATTGTATTTTTCAGTGTAAAGCATAAATGATTTATTCCATCCGTTGTCCGAAAAGGTTCACTTGAATACAAGCCAGTTTTTTTAGTGATTAACACACTACTCAAGGCCTATCCCACCGGGTTATGTATAGCTCATAAGGTTTTTTAAAAACTGTATGAACGAATAACTTGAGATAAACTAAGAAAAAACACTCTGCTTTAAGTACTTCTTTACTCAAAATTGGGACACGATCATGTCTTACCACTGAAGAAGATTTAGCTTCAGAGGGAAGACCGGTTACGAATTGGCTTTCTTAAGACGATTGCAGGTAGTAAAGAAGGTGTAAGATTTGGTTTATATTTTACTCACCAACCACAATCCAGAATGGTCCAAATCGTTTTTTCTTCTAGTTATTCTGAAAGACAACACGGTTAATTAGTGTTTGTTCAAAGTAATGGCATTCAAAAGGTTTTTGCTACCTTCCAGACTGATTGAATAAGTTGGCTAACGGTATTTAGTTAGGTCAGAACGAACTTGGTTCTGTCTGAATTGTAAAGCTAGCTTATATCTGTGCATCTACAGTGCAAAAAGGAAGCCAAGAAAAAGACGAACATGCTGGAAATTTGGACTAACCCATCTACAAATGTTACCGTTATGGGTTGATTCCAAGTTGTTTCTAAATAAATTATCTTCTTTTATAATGAAAGAGTTGAAGACCAGCAGTACGCAATCGAAACGTCGTGATCCATTACAACAAAGTGAACACTGTGAAACAAACGATGAACGAACAGTATTGTAAGGCATCGTTATACAAATGATTGCTAAGTGGTTGCCGCATCAGATTTCCTAATCATTTTTCAACAGCTTTTGTGGGTATAGCAAAATAAGAGCAACACTGTCAGCACCTAACCGTTTTTCATATTAGTGTTCACCTACTAAGCATACAGTGCCATACCTGTACTAATGTTTTAATCTTATCCCTGGCTTAACACACAAAACCACTAGTCGAACTATGAAAAACAAAGGCGCCTTTTGTGTTATACCTATTCTTCATGACTCTTCCATTGTTATTGTGATAGCTACCGGGCAGGAAAGGATGCCCACGGTCTCGCAGTCTTCGCAGTTATCCCCTTTAGAGTGGTAAAAACAGACCGACCCAAACTACAAATCCTGCCTCTGTGTAGTTTCATAAAATTTTCGTAAAGGACTGTTCCCTGGCTCTAAAGTAAAACCCGATCGGTGCCGGGTGTCGAACACTTGAAACTCGTTTTAGCATTATTCATTGGCAGTAACAAAAACAGGCCAATTGAAATAGG